TTCTGCCATCCCTGGAGCTCTGGCCTGCTCTCAGACGCCAGCAGGAGGGGTGGGGGAGAGAAAAGCCTGCCAAGCCCACCATCTCCAGCCAGGGTGGGGTCCCTCCAGGGTTGGGCAGGGAGGAGAAGGGACGAGGAGACAAAGGTACCCTCTGTCACGGTTAGTTCTGCTGTGACTTGGGTTCACCACCTGCTTGGATCAGAGTGCGAGCTGGATGAACCTGTTGTTGAGGTGAGTCCCCTCCTTCCATCCCTGCAGGGACCTTCTGTGTTGCAAGATGTTCCTGCCACCCCTCAGGCTGTAGGCAACCAAGGGAAAAGGATGGGAGGAGCAAAACATGGACACTTGGAGGGCGTGCCCGCTGGAGCTCAAATTCAGACATCGGAGCAGGGGTCCTGCTGGGCTAGTGCTGGGTCTCTGCACTTGGAGACAGGGTCCCCTGTGTCTCAGAGGCTGATTCTGCACATGTCAGAGAAACTGAAGATGGAATCAGATGTGGCCTGGGGCAAAGCAAGGACGAGAGAGAGGGACAGGACCCAAAGTCCAAGGAGAGGAAAAGCGAAGCCTCACGCCCTCCTCCCATCACTGTGGACCAGTGTACTACCTGTGGGCAGAGTCTGCCGGACCCCAGCAGGCAAGGTGGCCACGTGGCTCCGCGCTCCCAGTATCACAAAGCAGGGTACACAAGGGGAGGTCTGGGGTTGAGAGACAGTAGCTTCATGGCTTGCTCAGTGCCCTGGGGTTCATCTCCGCTTCTGTGGGCAGGAAGCAAAGATCGTGAAGGGGCCTTACGAGCCAGGCCCCTGCTGCTGACATTCAACCAGGAGCACACAGTTGCATGCCTGTTTCGAGGAGGGCCGGGGAGTTCTTGAATGCCTCAGAGAAACTGAAACAGACTTTGCCGAGCAGCAGATAATATACACAACTCCGGGGGGTGGCCAGAGCCGGCCCTTCGCAGCTACACTTTTTCTGATGGTGCGTGTGGGAGCCACGTTTTACTTCTGGCTGCCTGCTTCTACTCTGCCTTGGGCCCGGGCATCTAGAACACCTGCTAGGCATCTTACCTCCCTCCTGGCTGTGCTCTTGGCTCCCTGGACAGCTTCCACTCAGAGGTCCACAGTACCTAGTGCACAGAAAACCTTCCCTTTTGCCCCATGCTGAAGTGCATCTTGCTCCCAGTGCTCCCTGCCCCACTTCCCACAGGCTCTGGCATCTCCCACCACTCTGGCCTTCCCGGGCTCCCGTGGAGTCCCGCCAGGGCACAGGTCTAGCTTGGAGTGGTTCACCCCACTCCTCCCTCTCCTGCCCTCTTCTTGGGGGTGGGTGGGCTGCACCCTGCCCACCCACCCTCCCTAACAGAGTCCTCTCTCCCTTGCCCCTCTTTGAGACTGCCAGCCACCTCCCTTCTACAAATCCCCGGAGACGCAGGAAGTGTCTTAGGAGACAAGCTGTTACAGCTGCCTGGTGTTTACAAAATACCCCAAAATGGGAGTGACCCCCTACTCCCCTGAAGGGGGTCACACAACCCTGAAAGTCCTTTAAGACTGTGCGTCATCATTAACAGTCATGTCGGTTCTGCGCTCTATTGCAAATGATGCTTGTTTGGGGAAATGGATTCTTCTGCTTGCTGAGTGAGCTCAATCCTCCAGGAAGCAGCCATCCTTCCCCTAACTCTGCATTACTTCCAGGGTGGGAGCTGGGCTCTAAGCAAGGGTCCAGGGCCTACTGCTGCCCATGGGGACAAATCATGGCCTAACCCAGGACAGTAAGAAACACTGGAGCAAAGATAACCTAGGACCATGCCTGGGGGTCAGTGAAGGGGCACAGGTGCCCTGCAGAGTGCTTCCCCCCGGGATGCCTCAGAGAAAACAGAAATCTGTTGGAGAGTTCCATTTGTCTCTAGGACACAGGGAAAGACTGGCATCCTGTGGCCATTTATTAGCATTACATCACGGGTCGGAGAATGCGTAGAACTTAATCAGATACTGTCACTGAATCCTAAACTGTTAGAGCCGCCAACGACTCCATAAAACGTATCTAGGGGCTTTAAAAGAAATAATGTAATATAGTTTATTTTTATTATGGATAAGTGCATCAAATGAAAGAATGGCTCTTCATGAAGCAAAATATAGGAACTTCCAGAGAACAAATCGCTTTCCAATTTGAGTTCATACGATGATAATCTCCTTGCCTTCTAGACCAAATCCATTAACCATTTCAGTGGAAGCAGATGTTAATAAGTCATCAGTTTAACTAGCCTCTTAATTATGTTACATTCTAAAGCTTTAATTTGGAGAAGTGACCGAGTATCTGGGGGGTTGTGAGGCAAGAACTGAGACTTTTAGAGTCAGATCCTCTGAGCAGTGGGCTGGACTCCAGAGCCACAAGGGTGCCCCCACATCAGCAGCCAGAATCTAGACATCCCCCCACGTCTGGCGACACTGACAGAAAAATGCAACATTTTTCTTGGAAGTTTGATACGAAAAATGACTAAAAAAAAAAAAAAAAAAAAAAAAGAGCCACACCCCCAAACCAAAACCACCCACTATTTTTCTGTGAGTAAACTAAAGACACATTTGTTTTCCAAGATGGATCATGACATCAGTAGCTTGTTATGAACTACTCTCTGCATAGTAGTTCCTATGGATTTGGCCCTGTCCTGGTCACTTTTCACTTAAATGACATCTGATGCTCTGTAAGGGAATACCAGCTCAAATAGGCTGCTCACTTGAGAATGTAAAGCCACTGAAATGGTTAATTCACTGTTCATGACTCCGCAGTGTGGACGCTTGTTTCTATCCCAATGACCAACGGGTGTGGCTCCTCGTGTGGGAAAGAGAAAAACCTGATTTTTAGCCTTCCTCAGTCAGTGGCCTACAACCTATGACGTGTTTTTGTATGGCCTGCAAGGTAAGGATGAGTTTTACATTTTTTTAAAAGATTTTATTTTTAAGTAATCTCTACACCTAACCTGGGGCTTGAACTCACAACCCTGAGATCAAGAGTCACATGCTCCACCGACTGAGCCAGGCAGGCACCCAAGTTTTATGTTTTTAGGTGGTTCTTTACCCACCAAAAACTAATGACAAATGGGCAGCAGAGATCTGTCAGGTCCCCTAAGCCTAAAATAGTGAACATGTGGCCCTTCACAGAGAGTTTGCTGACCCTGCATTACACAAACAAGACTTTTGTTTCTCTAAATGTCCTAAGGACTGGTTTGAGGTGGGCAGAAGTAGAAACAAATGCATTTGAAATTTTGCACATGAGTGCTTTTTCTTTTTTACCTTCAATTAGTTGCAGCAAATTTGATCCACTCTGACATTCACTGAGCACCTACTGTGTATAGCACTTCACAAGGTTTAAAAGGAAAACTAAGAGGTCTTAGAAGACATAAAAATCACTGTGATCCGAGTCAAAATGGTTTGTTACCAAAAAATTAGTGCAGAAAAAAAGGTGGGTGTCACTCGGGGTGGTGGAGGTAAAATGTGGGACCTGGAAGGACTACCTGGCTGATTGCAGCTGGTGAAGCTGGGAGGAAAGCACTCCAGGCAAAGGGGAAGAAACAGGCGAAGACAGAGGCAGGAAGGCAGCAGTGAGAGTTCTGAGTGCCAGGGAAAGGAGGCGACCTATGGGTGTGGGTGGACAGTGTAGCGGGAGAAAAGGCTCAAGGCTAAGTTGGTGTCTCCTCCACTAAAGTAATTTGGAAAAAACAAACAACCCACTCATTTGGGAAACCTTAAATAAAAGTTACTGTGAAAACGTATTGTCAGGGATCTGAAGCCAGAAATGGAAAGTCATCAGGACTCATACATGGTCTCCTCTCCCCTCTCTAACGGGTCCCACGGGGGGGTCTTCCAAGGTGCCTCCCGCTGTGCTGCTCACTTCTCCATTCCCTTTGAAGCCTGGTCTTGTTTTCTGCTCTTGGGTAAATGGAGCCGTCAGAGCACTTCCTCTCTCAGGTGCCACCTGAGGTGTCGGGGACAAGAAACCCAGCTGTCAGGTCTAGGGTACCCGGTGCATCACTCCACAGCACGTGCCAGCCACGGATTCTGTACTAAAGGGCAGGGCTGTGGCATTTGGGGAGCAACCAGACTGCTTTCTCGGGAGGGTTTCCACTTGCAATTCCATACTGAACATTTTGGAAAGAGCTGGTGAAATCTGGACGTCTGCTTAACACGTGCATTGACTGTACCGCGTGCTAAGAATCTGGACTTTATAACCAGACGCTGGGAAGCCTCGGGAAGCTTCCGAGTCAGGCAGTGATCCTTGAAAAGATGATTCTGGTGGCGGAGGATAAGGTGAAGAACCTCGTTCAAGAAGAGGGTCTGGGTCCGAATTGACCCAGTAACTGCGGCCTGGGAGAGGACTTTTTAAAATTTTTCCCCCCAAAGAGGCATCAACGTGGGATTTGGTGGCGGCTGGCTATGGTCTCTGATTGGGCTTCGGGCCGCGGGGAGGGTCTGGCAAGCGGACAAACGGAGGGCTGCCGGCAGGAAAGACGGTCCCGCAGGAAGGACGGCTGTCGCGGGGGCGGCGGCGAGGCGCTCAGGCGCACCCGGCTCGGCCGCAGGATCGCTCCGGGGCGTCCGCCGCGCGGGGCGTCGGGAACCGTGGTCACCCGGCTCCTTCGGGTACCAGGCAGGACTCGCACAGAGCGCTTCCCTCGGGTTACAAATCCCACACCGGCCCGTCCGGCTGCGGGTCCTTCCAGGCTAGCAGGCGCCTGGGTGACGTCATCAAGGGCGTCACCGCCCCCTCGCCGAGGGCTTTAGGTGTCTATGGAGAGTCTGTCACAGCGAGCCGACAATAAAAGATTAACTCCCTACACAGCGCAAGGAATTCGCCTCCGATGCCTCCGATCCCGCTGGCTCTCCCGTGGTGGGCGTCTCTCCCGCCACCTCGGCCGGGCTCCCCTTCCCCTTCCGCTCAGGCGGCGCCCCGGGCAGGCCCACGCCGCGGCGAGGGGCGGGGCGAGCCCGGGCGGGGCGGGGTCCTGGCGGGGCGGTGTCGCGCTCGGGGGCCGCGCCGGGTCGCGTTTCCCTCGACTGCCGGAGGCGGCTCCGTTTGGGAGAGCCTTTCGCCAGCCCCACGGGGACCTCTGTGCACGGATGGACCCGCCCGGCCCCGGCGGGAAGCGGCCTGGCAGGCGGCGGCCCCGGCGGTGTCAGCAGAGGCAGGACAGGGCCGAGGCCGCGGGTCCCTGAGGCGCGCGGGCCCACCGGGCTCGGCGTTGGCACCATGATGCCGGGCGAGACCCACTCGGCGGCGCCCGGGACGGCGGCGGACCTCTCGCGGTGTCAGGGCTGCGCCTCGCTGCAGCAGGTGCGGCGCCTTCCCGGGCCGAGGGCGCGGAGGAGCTCGGCTGGCCGGCCAGGGCGCGGGGCTGGGGGTCCGGCCGCGCGGGCCGCGCCCCCGCGCGCGGCTCCCACTCCGCGGCGGAAGCCGCCCCTCCTCCCCGCCCGCTCCCCTTTCTGCTGCAGTGCTTTGGGGGAACCGCCTCTTTTGTTTGATTTAGGCCGGTGACCCAGGCCTCGTTTGCCGTGAGGCGGCGGGGGGGGGGGGGGGGCGGAGCGAGCGGGTTCTGGGGGCCCCTGCGCTTACCCAGTCTCAGGGCTCCCCAGGGCTGCTTTTGAGGTTGGCGAGGGACGGGTGGAATGCGGAGGGAAGCGGCCTCTGAGCAGTGAGATGTTCGATTGCTCTGGCTCGTCCCGAAATATTTTTTGCCTGGAGGCGCGACGTGCGGGTTGGCTGGAGGGTCGTCCATCCTTTGAAGGCTTGCAGTCACTGGACGTTTCTAGCAGCAGAATGGACTGTCTGCAGTGACAGAAGAGGCGTTGCTAGTGTCTGGCTCCAGGTCTTGCGAGGTAGTGGGGATCGTCCCAGGTACTTGTTTCCGGCTAGACCCTCTTCGCTGCCTGATGTCGAGAGTTGCTTAACCCCCAGGGTCAGTGCCCTTAATGGCAAAGTGGGACGTCGCCCCACCTCCTAGATTGAATTAAATCAGCACCGTTTCCGGCGTGGTGTTCTAGGCACCAGGGTCACGGGGGTGAACCAAGTAGACGATCTGTTCTTAGAAGTAAGACACGCGTCCAAGTAAGACTCTGGGAGGTTTTAAGTATCCTGAAGCAGGTAAAGGAGGAGTTGGAGTGGTGCTCTTGGCCGGGTTGGTGGGCAGGGTGTTTTTGGGGAGGCGAGGTAGGGCGATCTGAACGGTGAGCAGAAGAGGTGTGGGAGGAACCTCCTCCATGGGGGGATTAACAGGCGGGAACGTTAGGAGGCGAGGAGGAGCAGGGTGCCTCCGAGGAGCGGAACAGTGTCTGGCTGACATGAGCGCAGAGCAGAGGGGAGATCAGAAAGGAATGTAGGCCACAGGCCATCCAGATAAGCTTTTTTTTTTAAGGGCATTATCTAGGAACTGATCCCAAACGTTTTAAGTGTTGAGAACAGGGGAGAGGGAAAGGGATCGTGCACTGGCATTCTGGATGGAAGGAAAACGGAGAGTCAAATCATCGAGTTGAGCTGCACTGTATAGGCATGTGTACCGTGCTTTATTTTTTTTCCCCTTAAAACCCCAGGAGCATGAGTGAAGTTCTCTTGAATCTTTAATGAATTGTATTTATTCTTTGTGCCAATTTCATCTAACAAGTATTTGTAGGTCATGTGCTGTGTTTTAGGCAATGTGATTGTAGCAGCAGGAAAAAAGGCCAACATCCTTGATCTCTGGGAGCTTCCATTCTAGGAGGGGGGAGGAGACAGATTAAACAGGTTGCATGAGAAGATAATATGGTAGAGAATAATTAAGCAAAGAAGGTGGAAAGGACAAATGGGCGAGGAGGGGCCTGCTGGCTGGTGGAATTTATGGGGGAAGTCCTTTCTGAGAAGATTGTATTTGAGCAGAGGGGGTGACAGAATAAGCTTTAAGATACTTCAGGAGGGGCTGTCCCATACAGTGGGAAGATCAGGTGTGGGTGCCCGACACAGGGGCCTGCCTGACGTGCTGGGGAAGGCGGCCATCGTGGCCGGGGTGGAGTGCATGTAGATGTCTTGGTCTGTGCTGGGTTGCATAACAAAATACCATAGACTGGGTGGCTTATAAACAAGAGGAGTTTATTCCTTGTAGTTCTGTTAACTGGGAAGTCCTAGATCAATGAAGCACGGGCACATTTGGTATCTGAGGAGGGCCCGATTCCTAGTTTGTGGCTGTTTTCTCGCCCTGTCACCTGGTGAATCATCTAATGGAAGGGTGAATCGAGCTTTCTGGGGTCTTTTGTAAAGGGCACTAATCCCATTCATGGGGGCTCTGCCCTCCTGACCTAATCACTCCCAGAGGTGTCACATTGGGGGTTAGGTTTAAACATACAAATTTGGGGAGGGGGACACAAACACAATAGCCAGGAAGTCCGATGACATCAGTAAAAGAAGGGTCTGATTGCGTGGGCCCTTAGAGACCATCAAAGGATTTTGGCTTGAAAGGATAGTGAGTTGTGGCTTTTACTCTGAAAGGATAGTGAGTTGATGGGGGCCTCTGTGCAGGAGAACAGCATGAGTTATACTTTTCAGTTGTGGATCTCGTCTTTCTCTAGAAACCTGGTCTACCCATAGTAGTCTTCATCTTAGCTAAAAGTAGCACCTGGCCGGAAACTCAGTGTCATCCTTGGTTCCTGTCTTTCTCTCGCATCCTGACCCCACCATCATGATCCGCCTCAACCCCCACTGGTCCCCGCTGCTTCCAGCCCTGTGTGAACCCAGTGTGCTCTCTGGCCTAGAGATTCTGGCTCCAGTCTCCAGAGAACCCCCCCCTTTTCCACCCTTGCCGCGTTCCTACTAGTGGTTCTCAGAGCAGCAATAGGAGAAATCCCGTTAAATTCTTCAGGGGTCTGCAGACTTGTTCTGCAAGGGGCAAGATCCTCAGATGGAGGGCTTGTGGTCTGTTCGCAGGTCCTCTACCCATTGGAGGGTACAAGCAGCGCAGGCAGCAGTCGAGGGATGGGCCTGGCTGGGGCCTTTGCAGACCTCTTCCCTAGGACAGAACACTCCACTGCATTGGGGTGTTTGCCTGGAATGGCGTTTTAGGGGAAGAGGATGATTAGTCACGTGTAGAATCTTGAATGAGTCTTTAATTTTACAAAGGAAGGCTGGAAAGATAGGTACGTGGCAGATTATTGAAGATCTTGAGTGGTAACCACCAAAAAAAAAATATACTTATTTTTGTCAGTGTTACGGAGTAGAGAGAGGTTCTGCACAATTACCACATAAGAGCGGTGTTTTTGGTAAAAATGGCAGGTGGTGGTGTACAGGTCGAATTGGAGGAGGTGCAGCTAGCTCTGGAACATTATTTTACTCATGCACACTAGTGATAACAAAAGCCTGGGTGAAGTGAAGCTTCCCAGGAATGGGAATAAAAAAGCAAAACGGTCTCAATATGAAAAACTTCGAAGAACAGGTGGATTTCGGATCTGGGGAATAAAAGATCCAGCGATTAAAACCCGAGTCACTGAGAACTGTTAGAGGGAAGAGAAGTGGAAACCGAGACACAAGAGGTGTTGGAAATGTGGGATCGAAGTTCTGGAATGAGGTCGGAGTTGGGAATTTTCAGCGGCTTTCACATTTGTCGTTTGTGGAACACAGGCCTCCAGAGCACCTGATGGCCTGCTGAGAAGATAGAGCAGAGACCTGGGTGGGTTGGCGCGGAGTGCCTTGTAAGAATTTTGGGGGGGAGAGATGGTGATAGGAGAATGGGGGAGCACATTCTGTCACTTGAAGAGATTTTGAGAACCTTTGTGACACGGTATGAGATGAGGTGCCGTTCTCAGGAGTCAGTGAAGGAGAAGCTGCTGGCTACTGACGGAAGGCGGGCGTGGATGGTGAGGAAAGGAAACACAGGGAAACAAGAAGCGCCTAGGAAATGAGGGTGGGAAAGATCGAGAACGGAGCAGACAGGGATCTGTCAGTCAGGATACCTCACCTTAGGATTGGGTGCTGGGTTCCCTACTTGAGAGACACTGTGTCAGAGAGCCTAGTGGGTGCCCTGCACAGGGAAGGTGGCCTGCTGGGTGGTTTCGCGCGGGCACCTCGCACCTGGCCGCGAACGGGCAGGCAGGCTGCAGGTGTCTCCCCACTGGAGGTGGTCGTGGCCATGCTGGGCTTGTTCTGAACCACAGTGGGAAGCTGGCTCTCTCCTGAGCGGAGCAGTCCTTTCCTCTTGCTGGAAATCTTCTCCCCTGTCCTCTTTGCATCGGTGTTGACAAATGGGTCTGGCTGTGATCGTCGCTCCATTCGCAAGTGTGTGGATTAACCACGCATTAGGTATCCTTTGTTTCGTAGTCCCACAGCCCACCTCCTGTCTGTGCCCACCCTCAGTGGTGGTGGTGGTTGGTCACTGAGCTCCAGCCCAAGGTCCCTGTGGGTTGCCGGACTTGAGTAGTCCCATCAGAGCAGCACGGGTCCTTCCTGTGGTGAGAGTGTGCACTTACACACTTCTTAAGCTGAGTTTTCAGTCCAGCGGCACAAGTTGCTCTGTCCTGGTGGAGGAGAGGCCCCTCTTCACCAGTTCCATTCGCTGCAGAGCAGAACAGTTTAACCCTTGGGGGCCCTGTGAGAGTTCAGAGCTCGTGGTTATACTTCTGAGCTCATGCCACTACAGTAGGTTCAGAATAGATGGTGTTTGGCTGCCCTTGGCGCAGATTTGAGCCTGTCATTTATATAAGCTTGTGTTGGGCTCCCACTGATAACTGCCAGTGGTTTAAACTTCATCATTTGGAACCTAAACCATGACTTCTCTTAGACATACTGATTTGTAAATGATTATATTACAAAGAAGGCTCACAAAATTGTAATTCATTCAGTGAGCAAACATTTCTTGAGCATCACTGGGTCTAGGATGCCATGCTTTGTTTTGGAATACACTCATGAACAGAAGAGGCTTGGGGCTTGTGTTCTAGTTGGGGTGACAGATGGTGAGAAAACCACCACGGAAGGAGTATATTAGTAAGTGCCATGCTGGGGGGCGCACAGGGGACCCTGGGAGCACCTAGGAGGGACAGGGGAAGGCTTCATGGAAGAGGTGAATCTGAATTGAGGTCTGTCTGAAGGGTGAGTCTTAGTTGAGGAAGAGGAAGAGATGGAGGGGATGTGGACAGAGGGCACCATGTGCAGAGACCAGGGTGGGAGAAGGTAGTTTGTGATGGATGAAGCACAATGTATGAGGTCAGGGCAGCTGAAGACTAGGCATGTGAAACTGGGTCCTCCCTTCCCAGGAAGCAGAGCCTCTCAGCTTGTTTGGTGGGAAGTTCCCAGAGTGGAGTTGGGGGGTGGGGGTGGGC